CCCCGCTCCTGCTTGCTCACCCGCCTATGGACCGGGTGCATGTGCGCCCTGTACAATAAACGTACTGCATGGTCAACTGCGTGCTTATACACCTACTTAACCGAGACACAACACCTTCCTACCTTATATTTTGACCTAAAACGTCCAGCGAAGAAAAACGTGCCTAGAAATAAACTTTTACGGAAAGACTATATCGATCGCATTTCACATTTATAATATAATATATATATAATGTAACAATATAATATAATACATTTGAAGTCAAATCAACCTGAGTGTAAGAAGCGGAGTAAATAAACACAACTGCTGATACAGTTAGACAATTGTAATGTTGCTCCCCCCTCTTTTAAATGCTTCCAAACTGTAGACCAATCTATAGTCTCTTGAGTGAGACAAAGCGCTCTGAAAATGACGAGTAATTTGGAGTGTATTCTTGTTCTCTGGTTTCAGTCAGTTTTTACGACTAGTGTGAATTCGACTTCCGGATTGCAAACATCGCCCACCGCCTAATTGTTCCGAACTCACCCACAATTTTCCACATCCAAAGCTCGAAATGCTGGTGGAAGTGATAGGCTCATTCGGTTCTCGTTATTGATCCAACTTCCGGTGGATAAAGTCTGACCGTGTGGAGCTGCTACACTTGTATTGGTACTGATCAGCAGTTTGTGCTGACCGCTGTCTGCTGTGAGAACAATTTTCGGTTTGTCTAATTCTGCACTGGGCTCCTTTGGCAACTGACCCCAGTTTTGTTGGTCTGAAAATGGGACCTGTTCACGTGAATAGGAAGGTGGGTGGGTGGTGAGGGAGGTAAGCAAGGAGAGAAAGTGGGCGGATATCGTGGCGAATCACTAAATTATGCCAAGAGCGTAGGAAGTAAGTACACTTGCGAGTAGTGTTTGCCACTTTGACATTGAATCTTAGACAACGAAAAGCAATTTGCTCAGAATCAAAACTCTAAAAATGCAAGTGAATTGGAAGGATTTTAAAACGCACAAAATTTTTGTTGTTCAACATCCCCCCCACATCTGAATGATCGAAATGCTTAAGACACATATTTAGGATCACACACATTCAAACACTTAAATTGTCACCAAACTTTGTCCACATCTTACACGCGAGCAGTATACATTCTGACAGAGGTAACTCGGGACATTTTAACCTGTTAGGCACATTTCTACATTGATTTTTTTCATTCAAACGATGGGTGTTCTATTCAAGATCGACTTGTTTTTACTCTTATCTACATGTGACGGAATGAACACAACAACTGACTCGGTCTGTTCCAATCGTCGTCATCCGAGTCCATGAAACGGTATCTTTCTTTTTACAACCAGCGACCTTCGGATTGCGTTTTTATTCGGCCTTGGTTATTGAAAATCTCAATAGATAATGGAATTTACGCAGTTTTTTCGCTTAATTATGCGAATGCGGGCACCTTTGGTAGTGGGACAGTGTTGGCCTTCAAAGCAGATGAGAGAGAAAGGAGATTAAGCTGGATCGAACTTGCTGAAAATCCACATTGACGACCAGGTCTTTTAAACCGTCTGGTTCTTCATAAACAGTTTCCTGTGTGTGTGCTTATCAGAAGCTGAACCAAGTGCGAAATACGGGGGGGGGTTTGTGGAGATTAATTCTAGCAGACAGGCGTCAAAATGATGTTTGCGGGTGGGTTGGTGGCTGGGTGGATGGATGAGAATGATATAGGGACATGGGTCGACGTGCACGTTCTGGTGTGAGGTCTTGGATTGTATTGTGCACCGGAGCTAAACGAAAACCGATGTTTTCGACAACTTCTTCGGACAAATACAGTTATATAATCCCAACCACATATGAAAAACAATCACAAGTAACGAATCACGCTTAGATATTGGCGCAAAATCTAATTTTAATCTGACTACGTAACTGTATTAGCCCGAAGAAGAATTTGTCGAAAATGAGCTTGTTCACCAAAACCGTTGTATTTTCTCTTTATGCCAAGATGGGAATTTTCTGCGAAAACCGATGTATTGATCAATGGGTGAAATGAAATACGAGTTATAATTGCCCAGTCGGGGAGTGAAGGTTTAAAACCTGCCTTCAGAGGCCCGTGAAAAGTTGCCAAAGAAAGGAGTACAGTGTTACAGGAAGAATGTTTATTTTTTAAGGTATTATTACTTCCTTTTATTGAATATACAAAGATATAATTTTCAAGAAGGGGAAAGCGGTCAAT